GCTCTTTTAAAACAACCTTTAAATGTCTCATAACTATAGGAATATATAAAATGTATATATATATATGTCAAACAACAATAATGAAGCAAACATCCATGTACACACCACTTCTTCATGAAGAAGAACTCCACTAGATTATGCGAGAACCCCCGTCCTGTATTTCCTGCCCCATTCTGTCCCCTTCCTGTTCCCAGAGCAACTACCATGACCTCTATGTTAACTGTGTCCCTGCTTTTCTTTAGAGTTCTATCACTTATATGCACAAAACTTCAAAAATAAACTCACATCTGGCATTGTAATGAAAAGACAATATTTCTAGGAGAAAATAAGCTAAATAGAATCTTAGGGTCAGAGTCTAGTTTAGATCTTGGCAGTTTTAGTAGCCTTTTCTGGGGAAGTCAGAGAGGCCAGGTCATGAGTGTGTCCTCGGAAGCCTGGGGCTCACCAGAATCAGGGTATGTGGGGAGGTCCTAGGGTGGGCCAGACACGTCCGGCAGGAGGATGGTCAGGGGAGTGGGTTTCCATAGCTGGCATGGAGGAGAGAGCAGCAACTTGTCCATCCCACGGCCTTGACGGGTACGGTGCAAATAAGTATGTGAGCCAGGTTCCCCTGGGATTCTGCACTCGGATCAGAAGCACAGCATGGTGTCAGCAGGCATCCAGACCTTACTGTGTTTGTCTCTGGAGTCACAGGGCTTCAGTCTGACTTGGCCTTCTTTTTTTAAACCTCTGTTCTCTTTTTTTGGAATCTTTATTTTGGGAATGTTAGTACTCCTAGACCAATGCTGTAATATTCTTAGCTTTTCTCTTTCCACTTTGTCTTTTTTGTTCTACTTCCTGAGAGATTTCTTCAATTTTATCTTCCACACATTCTACTGAGTTTTTCCTTCTGCCATGTTTTAATTCTAAGAACTTGTTTTGTGTTCACTGAATGTTATTTTAAAAAGCATCTTATTCTGTATGATTTTAATTCTTTTGGTATTTGCACACACTTGCTTTGTGGGCTAATATATGTTCAGTTTTTGGAAAGAATATGATTCTTCAAATGTTGGGATCAGGGTTCTATATAGATCCAATAGGTAAATGTTAATTATGTCACATATTTCTACATCGTTAGATTTAAAGAAAAAATCTGCTTGGTCTCTTAGTTCTTATATTATAATGATAGTTCATTCACTGTAATTATTATTTGTCAACTTCGCCTTGTAATTATGTCAAGTTTTGTTTTGTAAATGTTTAGAATACCTTGTTACATGCTCTCAGATTTAGGATTATTTTATGTTATGGTGAAGTGATCCTTTATCATTAAAAAATGATCCTTTTTATTACTTATTTTTGTCTTAAAATTTATTTTGTCTAATAGTACTTCTTCTTTCCTTTAGATTAGAATTTAACTGGTATGTGTGCATACATATGTGTGTGTGTGTATGTGTGTATTCCTTTTACTTTCAGCCTTTTGGTGTCTTTAGGTTTAAACTTTTGGCTTTAAATATTGTTTATGCAGCATATGGGTGGTTTGTGTTTAATTTAATCTGAGAATCTGTTCCATTAATAAGTGAGTTTAGTCCAATTACACTTATTTTGTTTAGTGGCATATTTAAACTTGTACCATCTTAGTTTGTACTTTTGATTTATCATGATTTTTCTTTGGTAGCCACATTTTATGCTATTAAATGCAGCTTCCTTGAAACTTTCCTCTCTTGCATTCCATGGCATTCTATTTTCATGGTTCTTTGCTGAATCCTTTTACCTACTGTCTTACTTCTTTGTGACTCTTCTTTGTCTTCACCTCCTAAATCTAGCCGTCACCATAGGCTTCAACCTTGACACTTGTTTTTCTATTTCAGATGTTGTCATCTTCTCACATGATTTCAACAGGCTGCTAGATGTCTCTTGGATTTGTCTCTAGCCCTGGGTCCTGGGGTATAGAGTAAAATCATCTCATCAGCGAAGTCAGGCACTTTCACATTAGTATTTAAGTTTATTTTATGTAGGTATAGAAAAGACTCATTTAAGGGGAGATGGCTCTTGACTACTTTGTACATTAAATTCACTTTTATTTTATGACTACAGCCCATCAAAGCATCCTTCAAATGACCTTAAAAGGAAAGAAATAGGTACAAGGCAATGAAATTTGGCTTGCTGGTGGCCCACCACCTGTTTCTCTGTAAGTGTGTAGAACAACATGGTCTCTGGCTTCTGAGATCTGTGCCTCCAGGGGATAATCAGTGGAGCCAAATGACAAGATGTGATAGGACTCACAGTCCATCAAGTGGC